AAAAAAAAAAAAAAAAAAAAAGAATTTTAAACTTATGTATATTTATTTACAATTATGATAAATATGTTAAATACAAAATTAACATGAATCATCATCTTCCTCTTCTACATCTTTATTATGTTTAGGATTCCATCTTCTCCATAATAACTCTCTTACAGAAAATTCAGAAAGTATATCCACATTTAGATTAGATGTATGTAAAATTGAAGATGGCCATAAAACTTGTGCAAATAATATTTCCTATATAAATATATATATTTTTTAGTTCAAAATATTTTTACAATTCAAAATATTTTTGTTATATATAAAAAAATATTTTGTAATAAAGAAATTATTTAAAAAATTACCTTGGCAGCAGTTTCTGACAATCTTTCTAATCCTAATAAACTATTCCATGTTAATTTCCTCATACATTTATTCTGATCTGTGATTAATGTATCACCATCTAAAATATCTATTATTACAATGTAAGATGCATGATAAAATGGTGGTCCTTGTTTATATAATACTAAAATATTAAAAAAAAAATCTTTGACATCTATTTAAAAAATTATTCAAGTTTCATTATATTATCTTATTACTAATAAGAAAAAAAAAATAATACTAACAAAAATCTCCACCATATTTAAGACCAGGTTTTACTACCCATCCTTTGCTTCGAAAATAATGATATACAACATATTTTGGGATAAAATTTTTATCAGTTTTACAGAAAAAATGCCAAGCACTATCAATATCTAACAAATTACCATCAAAATCTATTAAATTCAAACAACCTAAACCATACAAAAGAAAAAATGTTTCCTCAAATGTAAGATGGAGTGTTTCTTGAATTGGAAAACTTTCAGATTCAATTTTAGGTTTTATTTCTTTTAAATAATTTTCAGTTTCTGTATCACTATCTGGTAAGACAAGTAACTTATTTTCAATATCTGTATTATCAGTAAAATGTAAATCATCTTCTTTTAAATTAAAATCTGTAAAATATTCTTTTTTTTCATTTTCAATAGATTTTTTTTTGTTACTATCAATGTATTGTCTATTTTCTTTAATAATTAATGAATTATCATCTCTTTTTATGGAATTTAAATTTATATGATTTCCTTCTATCTTTTTATTAGTTTTATTAATTTGTTGATTTTTTTTATATTTTTCATCTAAAGAAGCAGAATTTGTATCTATTTCAATTATATCTGGTGTACTTTCTTGACTATCTAAAAATTCATCATCATCTTGATTAATATTTTTAGAATGAGAAAATTCACATTTGTTTTCTTCTAAATTTATATTTTTATTATTAGCTTCCATGCTAAGTTCATTAAATTGTTTTAACCATTCTTGTCTACGAAGCCATTGTCTATTTCTTACAACTGGAGGTGCTCCATATCGTGTTTTACCAAATGAAGGAAAACCACGTGATAAAGATCCTTTTCCAAAAAAACCCTAAATGAATATGTTTAAATATAAGTGAAGTAAAAATTTTAATTATATACATAAATATTTAAATCATAATTACCATAGAATGTACTGCAACAATTTCTTTTGGATCTATTATACATGATCCTAAATCTGTAAGATGAGCAGTATAAGTTGTCCATTCATTTTCATCACCTGATAATATAAGTGGAAATGGTAATTGTTCTTTTAATTTTACACGACGTTTTTTCTTTGGTTCTCGTAAATTCATTTTATATTTATATTTAATATATATTTAATATTAAACTTAATTAATCATAATATATAGTTTAAAATTTATATCAAGTTTTTTAAAATTTATTTAGAACTCATTAAGTTAACTTATTTTTTTATGAAAAAAAAATAAAAAAAATAATATAAATAATTATTAGTATAAACACAGATATTATTTTATATATATATTATTTAATATTCTAATAAATAGTTGACATAAATAGATATCTTTAAATACAACAATTTTTTATTTTTAAATTGATAATTGATATTTTTAATATATAAAACAAATACAGTATAGAATAATTAATTTGTTTTTATGTTTAATATAATATAAAATCTTTTTTACTGTTTATAAAACTAGAAATACAAAACTATAAAAACTGACAAAGATAAACGTGTATAAGTAACATCGAGAGGTTAAAGTGACTAGATTTAGAAATTTTTCATTTTTTTTCATTTTATAAAAATATCTATCATTTTTTATAAATTTTGTATTGGAAATCTTATAAAATTATAGTTTATAAAATTGAATAAAAAAGAAAATTTTAATAAATAATTATAGCATATCATAGAATTTTTAATACTATTAAAGACGTAATTGTTAAATGCATTAATTAGTAAATTAATTAATTAATTAAATTTTCTAATTATTTGTAAATTTAGAAAAATAAGATTTTATTTAAAATAATAAAAATTTATTTATTTTAAATATTTTTGTCAAAAATATATTTATAATATAAATAATATAAGTAATTATAATATATTGTTTATAATTAAAATGAATAAATTAGGAGATATATTGAAGAATATTAAATTAGATATAAATTTTTTATAATTTAAAATCATTTCATTAATAATTATTTATGAATTATTGAAAAATGAAAAAAGTTTATTTTTTTTCATTTATTTATATATTTATTTATTTTTTATACTTATATCATTTTAAAGCAATTTTTAGCATTTCATTAATATCAATTATTTTTTCTCTTGGTTTTCCTAATATTTTTCCTCTTTCACATTCAATTTTATCAATTTTTTTCCAATCATTATATGATACTGTAGGTACTCCTTTATGATCAAGTATTTTCGACAAACCTGCAAAACCTGGCTTGTTTTCTGTAATTGATAATTCTTTATTTATTAATGTACCAACTTGAAATGCATTTGTCATTGTTGATAATATAACTCCTACTGGACCTGTTGCAACCCAACCTGCAGCATAAAGATTTTCTTGGACTTTTCCAGCTGTATTTTTAATGTGACCAATCTTTTTATCAAATGGTATTGATACATCTATTGGAACAGATTTATAACCAATACTGCGAAATGCTAGACCACATTCAATTTCTTCAAATAATCCAGTAGGTACAGCAAGCTGTGTAGATATATCATTACCTTCAAGTTTATTTATTGATAATTTAATACCATTTATGTCGTTAGAACCTAAAAATTTCACAGGACTTCTTAAAAATAATAGATATAATTCTTTTGTTTTTGTATCTGAAGGTGTTTTTTCTAAATATTCTAGCATAAGTTCAGTTAATCTTTTTCGTGGTCTTGTTAAAGTATTAACTATTTGTTTTATATTTATAAAATCATCTTTACGCCAATAAGTCTCACAATTATTTAATTTTAATATTTCTCGTAATTCAGCAATTGTAAATGCTGCTTGTAGTGGCCCCCTTCTTCCTATTAATGATACTTTACGTATTTTACTCTTTGACAATTTTTCTAAAGAATGTGATGTTATATCAGTATTCTAAAAAAATAAAGTTATAAATAAGTTAAAAGTATATTGCATAATATACTTTTAATTGTAATATATTTAAATATATTAAATTTTCTTAAAAAATTTAATTTAGAACATACCTTTAACTTATCAACTGGTGTTAATAAAATTCTTGCAATATCTATAGCAACATTACCTTGTCCTAATACAACGGCTTCTTCTACATCTAAATTAATATTCAAATTACTATCTGCAGGTACTCCATTATACCAACCGACAAATCGTTTTCCTGATATTATATTATTTAAATTTTCTCCAGGTATATTTAATGTTTTATCTTCTTCTGCACCATATGCCTAAACATTTATTAATATTAAATATAAAATTATTATATATTAGTAAAGTATATTATAAAATAAAGAAAAATATGATTGAATAAATTTATAATACATACTAATAAAACTACATGATAAATTTCTTGCAATTCCTTTATAGTAACATCTTTTCCTATATTAACATTCCCTATAAACCGAAAACGTGGATTAGATGCAGTTTTTTCAAATGTATGAATAACATTCTTCACTTCTGGATGATCTGGAGCTACACCAAAACGTACTAAACCATACGGTACTGGTAATTTTTCCAATAAATCCACTCTTACATTATTAATTGTCTGTAAAATTGTTTTGTTACAATATTAATCTATATAATTTATACTACACTTACCTTTAATAATTGTTGCGCAGTATAAAATCCTGCTGGTCCTGCTCCAATAATACATATTCTTGGTACAATATGTTCAGTTGAAAATAAACGAACATATTTGTACATTTTATTAAATTTCATAGTAGAGATTTGTATTAATCTAAAAGAATATATTGTAAATTAAAGTCATACATGATTCACGAATATATTAAGATTATAATATTCTTTTAAAGAAGACAGCCAAGAATTTTCATTTTGAATTTGATTTTTTTTCTCTATGTAATAAATTTATAAATAATAAAATTGAAATTTATATTTAATTTTATTATATATTTTATATTTATAAATATTTATAAATGCATTATGAATATGGGAAAAAAGCACACACCATTGACAAATATGCATTTATATTTTATTATATCAAAAATTTGGTACAACTTTGGTTTATTTTGGATCATCTTTTAATTTATACTTTGTTTCATCATATGTAATACATAATGAATGTATGTTTTTATGACCCAATGATTAAGGTCTGCTGAATAGCATAAATAACACCCTAAAAAAGGAAATAATGTCAATATTGAAAATATAATATTGAAAAATTGTAATTAAATATACTAATATATAATTCTTTTTACCTTTATAAAATAGTGATGGAGAAATTATTTCCAAAATAGCTTTCCCTTGTTTTTGAGCTTCAAAAGAAGCAGCTTTAATTTCATTTAAGAATCTTAATATTTTAGGATTGTAATTATAATGATGTAATGTGATTTTCAATCCTACGTGATTGCATATTGTAATTTTTAACAAATTAAAAGCACAGCTTATAAGATAAAGAAGTTCAATACTAAGGTGAGTAAACAATGAATAACCAATTAAAACTAATGTTGTTCCAATTTCGAGTTTTTGTAATGTATCATAAATTTCTGTGATTATTTCATGACCATCATAAATATCTGTATATCGAAAAATTAAAATTTCATGTTTTGGTTTACAAAGAATTTTAGCTTTTAAATTCTCTATACTCTCTATCGAAGGAAATTGTATTTTCAAATTTATTTTATTAAGGATGTCATCAATACCATTTAATATCTTCAAAGCATTTTTATTACAAAATTTGGAATTATATATTTTGTGAAACACTTTTCCTGAACGAATTTGCAAATCTTCTGGGAATTCAGAGAATTTGTACTATAAAAGATAAAAATTTAATTTATATTGTAGAAAATTAATTTAATAAATTATATTGTAGAAAAATTTTATTTAAAGAGAGTATATAATATAATAAAAAAGAATTAAAAAAATAGCTTACTTTTACAACTTCATCAGATGATACATGAATTTCAATTTTATTAAAATCATTACAAAAACTTTCTATCCTATCTAAAGGTGCTAATTGTTGTTTTTCACAACGTTCATTATATGATCCTTGTAATGATCTTTTATATTGATTTGTATTAATGGTTCTTCCTAATATAATTATGTTTCCTACAATTTCTCCTGTTTCTAATTTTTTTACATTATAATCTTTAACATATTTATCAGCTACCATACACTGAATTTGTTTTGTATTTTGTAACATTTTAGATTCATCAGAGTTAAATGTAACAATATTGTTTACTATAACAAGACATTGATGAGATTTAAAAAATTCACTACATTGTATAATTTTTTCCATAAATGCATATGGAATATCATGCTTACTAAAAATTGCTTGTTTAGGACCATATTCATAATGCTCTTTTAATTTTTCTAAATAAGGTGAGATAAATGTTGGTCCTTTAAAGTTTGTACATACAACATATGTTTCTGAATTTCCTTCTTTACTTGTTGCTGGTTTTATAACACTCACATTACTAAAACAACAAGATAATAAATATATCAGACATATTGTATTACATTCAAAAATAGTAAAAATTTTTAATAAAAAACTCCCTCCAGTAGCTAATAATTGTAATGCAGTTATGGTTTCACAAAAATGTAAATGTATTAAAACACTTTCTTGTTCTGCTGGAACATCTGTACAGTCTATACTACCATCTGCAGTAATCAAGAATATATTACAATGTGGCTGTGCTACTTTTATAAGTTCATTCAAATTTTTTAAATTCATAAGATTTCCGGTATTATCTTCTCCAAAACACCAATGATTTAATGTGTGTCTAATGAACCTGTCATCATCAACCATTATAGATGCCGGATTACCTTCATAATATGGATTTAAGGTCATAGCAAGCCAATCCCATTTAATATTAGGAACATTTGTTTTTAACCAATGATTTAAAGATGTGATGAAAGCTCCAGGTGCTTCACATAAATGAACAGATTTAAAACATTTATTATTATTACAAATATAATTCATTGGTATTAAAGGAAACGATGATACTATTTCATAAAATTTACACCATGCTTGAGTTAAAAGTTCTGGTTGAATATAAGTTTTCAATCGAGTCATAACATCTTTTGCACTGTTTCTTATTCTTGTATGTAATTGCCATTTATCAGGATCATAATTATTTAAACAATTCTTTATGGCATTTAATTCATTTTTTATTAATTGTAATTCATCGACTGTCCATAAACAATCTTTAAACATAGTTGTTGGTTCAGGCATTGTATAACATTCATTATTTACAATTGTAAAACGTTTATTAAATAAATTATTTATATGTTCATTTTGAGTTTGATTTTTATGCATACAATCTTTATTTGTATGTAATAACTGTTGTTTTTTAAAATCATATTCCTCTGTTTCCATTGTTTAATCAATAATTTAATTATTACACTTATTCGCGTATAATCACATAATCAGTATAATTCTTTTTATGTAAAGAATTAATTTAAAGTTAATTTAAAGTATAAAATAAGAATATATAAATTATAAATATATTTAATTTTTTAAAAGAATTTAATAATTTTTTCAACATTTAAAGATTAAAATTCTTTCATATAATTGCCTTGGCTGACTTCTTATTTTTGACAGATATAATTTCTCACCTTTTCATTATATGATAATAAATATAATACTTTGTTTAGTTAACAAAAATTGACAAAAAAATTATATTATTTTATTTCGTAAAAACTATGAATATACATTCTAAAATTCATATAATATAAGCACTACTTTTTTTTTTATAATATAACTTAATCAATATTTTGAAATAATCATATACATATAGATTTGATTTATTGATAAATAAAATTATATGATTTATATGTAGTGGGAGAAGGACAGTGATAGGGTAAAAATATTGAAATCAGCGCCATCTCCAAAATGTTGCAAATGCAACACATACACAAAGGTCAGAAAAAGCAAGAGAAAGATAGAAATAGAGAAAGAATTGATTGTCAGCATCATCTCTCGAATGTTAAAAACATCTTTTTTAAAAAATAATTTCTAAATGTATCAAGAGATGGTATTGATCTTTAATTCTTATCTATTATCTTATCCTGTCTTTAAAGAGTTATATTTAATATTCAAGAGATGGCACTGAACATCAATTCTTATTTTATTTCTATCCTTTTCTCATTATTTTCTGTCCTTTCTTCATATGTTTCATTTGCAACACTCTGAAGATGGCACTGATTTCAATAATTTTTATTTATTTCTGTCTTTTGTCATTACCTACTTTTTTATTTATTTTTTATTTATATTTAACACGTGAACACAAATAAGGTATATTTGAACACTTTCATCATTTTTTTTAAAACTACATATATCTTAATTTTTTATGCAAAAAATATAATCACATTCTTTTTTTTTGTTGAAAATATGTGATTACAACATATATGATTATAAGAATTATTCATTATATAGAATATTTATAAAAAAATATTATACAGAATATTATATAATAGAATATTCTATTCTTTTTATTTTTAATTCTATATTGATATATTTAACTTTAATTTTTTAATCATTATATTCTTATCCTGAATCGAATTGTTTAAATTAACACAGTAAAAGTATTCAAAATGATAAACAGATTCTAATATTTCCAAGGTATAGGACAAAAATTGCATTGAATATTAAGTCTATTATTTTATATTTTGTCATTTTATATTTTGACTATGGTATTACATATACAATATTTATTTATCGTTTTATAGTAGTAATTTATTTACATATATCATAACCTATATTACAATTATCTAACGTGATACGATAAGAGATATGAATGATATTGCGAATGATTTAAAATGAAATATATGAATTTTCTTTATTTCGATGGAAGATGCAGGAAATTAATAGATTTTGACGAATTTCAAAATCTTCCGATCCTTGTGTCGATCAGAATTATTGAACTTTGCGTATTTGTCCTCTTCGTCACTTTTTTTTGTATCCCAATTTTCGTAAAGCCTTTAGATCCACGTCTCCATAGTAGTCTTCGCTATAAAATTTATTATTTATAATGGTGAGATTTATTTTCTAAAAAATCGATAACTCAATAAAGAGATGAAACAATAATAAAATATCGTAATCAACATGTTAATAATAACAGTTTAAATTAAACACCGAAAATTTTAATACGTATAATATAACCTATAAAATATATGCTTAATAATAAAATATAATATGATAAAGGAATAAGAAAAATCTTCAATCACTACGCGTAAATTTCGATTCGTATTCTCATTAGCTGTTTTTAAATCATTTTAAACGATTCTTAATTTTAAGTTTTCATCTTTACGTTATAAGATAGTGCATCGAATGACAACGATAAGTTGTGTTTACATTTAAAACATTGTTACATTTTCGATAAAAACGAGCATGCAGAGTTAGAAATCGCGAAAAAAATAGATTTCCATAACGAAACAAGCAAATACACAAATACACTTGGATCAAAGGATAAGATAGATCAAAGGATAAGATGGATCGATAGGAAAAGTACATAGACTTTTTTTTTCACGAATTTTTGTTTCTTTTATTATACGAATTTTTCACATTACTTAAAAATATAACGACGGACGAGTCTAGCTTACGCAAGCATGCTTGATCTTGGAATCAAGAGAATGTGAGGGACAAGCTCGAATCGAAACAAATTGAAAAGAAGAAAGAACGACTCACCGTCCATCGAATCATTCCCTTAGATTTCTCTTTTTTTTTTTCAAAAGTATAAATATCCAATGGACGTAATTCTAACCTAGATACCGATCAACGAGCTTTGTTTTAAAACCGTACGTCTTACGATAGCTAACAAGATTGCGTACGGAAGAGGAAAATAAAGGGAAATGGATAAAAGTAAACAATGACAAGAGAAGGGAAGAGAGATGAAAAAAGTTATCGACGAGACGATATGATTGGAAATCGAATTTCGATTATCGATTCGAATTTCAATACTCGATGTTAATTTTAACGAGTGTTCGATTACTTGTTCACATGTATATAGACAGAAGGTATACAAATTTTATTTTGTTCGATTTTTATAAAATCGATTAATTCGAATCGATGCACAGTTCGAAAGATTAAAATTCCACGGACGTTACTTCTTCCCGCGTGTTGCGGCGCATCGAGCCGCATGGACGAAATAACCTCGACACGAGTGAGGGAATTCTGTGACGTATAACTCTTCGGTCACGAGACTATCACGATTTTCCTCCCGTATTATAGTCAAACCACGTATGAAATAATGGTAAATAATAGCAAATTATTCGATTGTATTTGTTTCAGAAAAGCTCGAGTGTACGCACGAAGAACGTGACCGAGCATCACAAGTGTATGTATCTGTCACTTATGCGTATATGTATGTGTGTGTGCGTGCTTGCACAAGAGAAAAATATGCATAGAAAAGAGATTCACACAAGAGTAAGAAGTGAGGATGAAGGAGGGAAGAGAAGAGGGAAAGAAAGTGAGGAGGAAGAGGAAAAAGGAAAGGAAGATGAGAGAAATTATTCTTGAAGGGATGCGTTGGGCCTCGCAGGTGCCGATGGGGGCCTCGGTTTGCCTTGAGGAGGCTTCCTGGTCTCGCCTGAATTCTGAATTCCGGCAAGCAGCTCGCTCTTCCTGATGCTCTTTAGATCCAGGTCACCGTAGTAATCCTCACTGTGAACCAGAACACCGGGAAAAATCCGGAGGTTAGGATCATGCGTGATGTGCCACCTGTTTTCGCGTGCAGCCTTGTGTTTTTTTTCTTTTTTTTTTTTCTCTTTTTTTTTCTATTAATCACGTTTACGTGAGAAGAGGTGATTACGGATTCGTTTTAGTGTGTCAGTGCTTTGGGAACACGTTGCAATATATAGTTTGTCTCGAAATTTATGGACGAGTGTGAAAGTTAACCTCTTCGGAACATTAAGGAAAAGGTTAGTAAATTAAAATTCATCGAAGAGTTCTCTATTCACATGGAATTTTTTATATTTTTATTATTTTAATAATGAAAACAAAATAACAATCATGATTTGAGATGATATTGCATACGATGCGTTTGATGCTTCATAGCATTTTTGAAGAGGTTAATTTTTTGTTTCTTTTTTAGTGGAATTTGAGTATTCGTAACATTCAGTGATAACATTTAGTTGGATAATCCTCCGTAAAATAATACTTTTAAACTGTGAATATTAATTAATTACATATGTTAGATAATTTTGTTGTTAATTAACGATATGATTACTTGTTATACCATTGTTTGAAAGAAAATTATGCGATTAGAATGAGTGAAGAGAAAAAGAAAATAGCACAAACAAAATTAATTAACATAGAGAAATTATTTTATTGACTTTCACGTTATTTCTGTCCTCAAGAAACATTATGTAAATATTATGTTACTAACATTTGGGTGGCTGTTACATAAAACCTATTTCTACGCATTATGAGAGCAAAGTATACACCAAATATCCGTTTAATTACATCACTCGAAAAATATCTTTCGAACTTTCAGATCTTACGAAAATTATTATTACTACACCATAATCGAGGATATTCCGGTTTGTCCAGAATTTATCTTTTACGTAATACACAGTCGCAAAGCTTCCTCAATCTACTCAAATTCTACTCTCCCTTTGAAATGAGATCTTTTAGAATATTTTTTTTTTTTTTTACAGCGAATAACCAAAAAATAGTAGTCTTCGAATTAGAAATATCACGAATATAAAACACCACACTCAGAAAATTTTGTTTCAACTCGGATAAAGAAGAAAGATAGAGACTCACCATCCAGGAACGTCCTCAGGATCTTCGCAGGCACCGCTGCCATCGGCATCACCGATCTTGAACACAGTGCCGATAGGGCA